AAGTTCTCTTGCTGGATGAAGCGACGTCGGCTTTGGATAGTCAAAGTGAAAAAGTAGTTCAGGAGGCCTTAGACAAAGCGAGCTTTGGACGCACGTGCATCGTAATAGCTCACCGATTATCAACAGTTCAAGATGCTGACGTCATTGTCGTTATCAACCGTGGAAGAGATATGGAAATCGGGACACATTCGGAATTGATGTCGAAAAAGGGATTGTACAGGCATCTCTACAACCTACAGGGAAAATGAAGATTATTATGACGTAATCATCACGTGGAAACGGTGGAAAATGCGAGTCATTCCGAATTAGGATGGATGCCTGCAACAAACGTCTTCTTCTCCTCTCATCTCTCCTCTTCTCTTCACTTCACTCTTCTCTCCTCTTCTCTACACTTCACTCTTCTCTCCTCTTCCCTACTCTTCTCTTCTCCTCTCCTCTTCACTTCACTCTTCCCTTCACTCTTCCCTTCTCTTCTCTCTTCCCTCTTCTCTTCACTTCACTCTTCTCTCCTCTCCTCTTCACTTCACTCTTCCCTTCTCTTCTCTCTTCCCTCTTCTCTTCACTTCACTCTTCTCTCCTCTCCTCTTCACTTCACTCTTCCCTTCTCTTCTCTTCCCTTCTCTTCTCCTCTTCTCTCTTCCCTCTTCTCTTCTCCTCTTCTCTCTTCCCTTCTCCTCTTCTCTTCTCTCTTCCCTCTTCTCTTCTCTCTTCCCTTCTCTTCTCTTCTCTCTTCCCTTCTCTTCTCTTCTCCTCTTCTCTTCTCTTTTCCTCTTCCCTTCACTCTTCTCTCCTCTTCTCTACACTTCACTCTTCTCTTCTCCTCTTCCCTTCTCTTCCCTTCTCTTCTCTTCTCTTCTCCTCTTCCCTTCTCTTCCCTTCTCTTCTCTTCTCTTCTCTCTTCCTCTTCTCTTCCCTTCTCCTCTTCTTTTCTCTTCTCTTCCTCTTCTCTTCTCTCTTCCTCTTCCCTCTTCTCTTCCTCTTCTCTTCTCTTCTCTCTTCCTCTTCCCTCTTCTCTTCTCCTCTTCTCTTCCCTCTTCTCTTCCTCTTCTCTTCTCTCTTCCTCTTCTCTTCTCCTCTTCACTTCTCTTCTCTTTTCTTCCTCTTCCCTCTTCTCTCTTCCCTTCTCTTCTCTTTTCTTCCTCTTCCCTCTTCTCTCTTCTCTTCTCTTCTTTTCTTTTCTTCTTTTCTTCTCTTCTTTTCTCTTCTTTTCTTTTCTTCTCTTCTCTTCTTTTCTTTTCTTCTTTTCTTCTCTTCTTTTCTTTTCTTTTCTTCTCTTCTTTTCTTCTCTTCTTTTCTTTTCTTCTTTTCTTTTCTTCTTTTCTTCTCTTCTTTTCTTTTCTTTTCTTCTCTTCTCTTCCCGTCTCTTCTCTTCTCTTTTACTCTTCTTTTCTTTTCTTCTCTTCTTTTCTTCTCTTCTCTTCTTCCCTTCCCTTCTTTTCTTCTCTTCTTTATCCCTTTCCTGTTTCATTTATCTTGCACTGACGAACGAAGAAGTGAAACACGGAATCAAAATATTTTTGCTATATCGACCTCCTGTGACTGATATTTATTCGTTGTTGATGAACTTTTATGTAATAAACGATTACTCAAATTGAAGACTCATTTTTTTCTTCTTGTGTGTCAGATGATTTACCTACGGGCAAAACAAAAACGACGATAATTAATGTTCTGTTTAGTACAAAAAAAAACTCAAGAACGATGTAAAAAAAAAAAACATGAATATAAGTGAATTAAATGTACATACCTGTTTAA